GCAGTACCTCAGCAGTTGACACTTTGACAACATCTAACATGTATTTAAGGTGTGATTTAGGACAAAAATTGCATTGTTTGACCCTTCTTTGTTACACTCTTCAATTACTGCTCAGCAGCACTGGGGCAAAAAGGCCCCACTGTGCTGCAATTTAACATGTTGCAGTGTATCATCAGAAGATTGAGCACTTGTGGTTTTGGAGTCATGGTCCAAAGCAAAAAATACAGTTAATAGGAACAGACTGATTTTAGTCATCCCAAATTCCCAGAGAAGTTCTTTTCTAAGAAGGAGAGGAGGGAGACATGTCCCGCCATCCGCTGGGAAATCTGGACTTCAGACTGTCTCAACCACCTCATGTCTGAGCCTCTTAAGCAGATGAGATTTCCCTAAGGTGATTTCCAGGGAGGGAAGAGTGGAAGCCACAGATAAGCTGTACAGAGCACGGTGGTAGGCGAGGTCCCAGGGCCACCATTGCTCTCATGGGGGATGTCTGTGGAGCTGCAGAGCTCCTGAATTTAGGTGCTGGAGGCTTGAAGCAAGGGGGTCATCCTGCTGCTGTCCCAGGAGTGACTTGTCAGCTGGACATCAGTGTTTTCTCATTTTGGAAGGAGCTGGCTTTGTCCTTGTCCACAGCTCCTTCATCTGTGTTTCTGCTCAGACTAGGTTTATACCAGATCAGCGCTTTGCTTTGTGTGGCTGCAGCTTTTCTGAGCCCTACAGATGGAATTACAGCACTGGCAAACTCGAGACAAGGGGAAATTCTTCCTTGCTTAACCTCTAGTCTCTATTTTAACCTCCCACTCGCCCCACATCCACCAGCCCCAGAGCTGAACGAGTGAATGGGGACACACATGAACTGGTGCTCAGCATCCTTCTGTCACGTTCTTAATTTTTTTTTCTTGTTGAATGAGGGCTAAAATTAGCTCAGCAGGAGGTGAGGGCTGGAACATTTCAGCTAAAACTGTCATAGTATTGAAAAGCCATAGTTTTGCTGATTATTTCTCAGCTTTCTTACTGTGAACAGCATTGCCTGGCCTTTTATTTTGACAGATGAATGCAGGCAAAATCTCTTAAAATAAAGTGATCTGCCAGGCTTTTCAGGTCATTCTCCAGATTATTTAATATTTGACCTGGAAAGGCATGTCCAGCTGAAGGTGCAGCCAGCTCAGTGTGTCACAGCCATGGCCAGGGAGAGGCACAAAGGGCAAGGTGTAAAGTGGGGGTTGTGGAGGATATCCCAGGCCCTGACTGCACCCTGCAAATGACACAAAAGCCCCCCAGCCCCTGTGCCCCCCATGATGGGCACATCTCCACAGACTGACTCGGACTTTGTTGGATCATTTTTCTTCTTTGCATTTTAATAGAACAACAGAACAGTTTAAAGCCATGGGCAGGGACACCTCCCACTGTCCCAGGCTGCTCCAAGCCCCAGTGTCCAACCTGGCCTTGGACACTGCCAGGGATCCAGGGGCAGCCACAGCTGCTCTGGGCACCCTGTGCCAGGGCCTGCCCACCCTCCCAGCCAGCAATTCCTTCCCAAGATCCCATCCAGCCCTGCCCTCTGGCACTGGAAGCCATTGCCTGTGTGCTGTCCCTGCCTGCCTTGTCCCCAGTCCCTCTGCAGCTCTCCTGGAGCCCCTTCAGGCCCTGGCAGGGGCTCTGAGCTCTCCCCGGAGCCTTCTCTCGTGCAGCTGAGCAGCCCCAGCTGTGCCAGGCTGGCTCCAGAGCAGAGGGGCTCCAGCCCTTGGAGTATTTTTGTGACCTGATGTATTTTGGAAAGCTGCTGTGAAGAGTTTGTTCAGGGGTAGAGTACTTTCATCCTTTTCTTTCAGCTTTCAGGATGAGCAAGTTTTTGTAACCTCTGTACCTCACAAGTGGCAGTCTTGGAAAACAGGAAGGTTAAATTATTGGGTCACATCTCATGGACTAATAAGCGAGGACAAAAATCAGATCTTAATTCAAGGGACAAAGGAATCTCTGCTACAATTTGGTTTCAAGGCCTTAAGCACCAGGATACAGTATGTACCTCATGGAACAAGGTGAAATGTACAAAACCACGTCTGCAATGCAGAGTTCTGTGGTTGTCCATGAGGCTCAGTTGGTGCTGTAGCTCAGATTCAAAGCTATCGTCTCATCTCTTCTGGGTTAAGACCCAGCAGTCCAGCTTGGTGGGAGAAGTACAAGTGAACCAAATATTCCCTCTCTCATGGTCAATCCAGAATAAAACCGACCCAGCTGTGGCTGCCCCATCCCTGAAAGTGATCCAGGCCAGGCTGGACAGGGCTTGGAGCAGCCTGGGATAGTGGAAGGTGTGCCTACCCATGGATGTGCCTACTCATGGCAGGGGTTTAGAACTAATTTCAGGTCCCTTGCAAACGGAATCATTCCCTGATTTTTCTGATTTTTGTGGTTCTTAGACAGCTGGCTGTAACCCCAGCATGACCCCACACCTGGTCATATATACCTAGATTTGGAGTGATCTTTCTAACCCCAGGTCCGTGCTGCCCACAGAGACCTGCTCACACAGATCAGTGCTACAAAACTCAAGAGGAATCAGCAAAGGGTTTTGTGAGGCCCTTGTCTGCTTCATCCTTCACCTGCCTTTGATGGTGATCCTGGAGCTTGTGATGCATGTCATCCCTGCCAGCTTGGCCCACTGCACCATGTGATTATTGGAATAGCTCACATTTGGGGGCTCAGAATGGAAATGAGCCAAACTGTAGCATAGAGGAGATTATTTCAACTCCCGTCCTCCAGCTGTGTCTTAGTGCACATCAAACCAGACAGGATGAGTGCATCCATCCTGCCTCAGCTTCCCATGCTGATCCCCACCCAAAGGTTGAGGAGAGAACCTGGAGACTGAGACTCACCCATGACCAAAGCCCATTTTGAAGCTGGCTCGTGTGCTCAGCACCATGGGTCCAGCTGAAGGCACAGTCCATTTGGAGACAGCCAAATGCTGTGTGTCAGCAAATCCCTCTGGGAAGGGCACATCTGTGCTGAACAGAAGGCACAGCATCAATCTGGTGCTCACAGAGACTGACCTGCTGATGTGCCCACCCAGCCCCTGGAGCACAGCAGAGGCTGAAATCACAATCCTGGGGCAGGGTGGGAGCTCGCAAACCCATCTGGACATTTTTCTTGTCCACGTTCTTCAGTCTCCACCACTCTGGTGGTTTCCACTCAAGGTCCTGCTCTACAGAAGGCAGAAACAATTTATAGGGACTTGCTCCTGGCAGAGCAGACGTGCAAGGAGGATTTGGAGCAGGAAATGGCTTAAGGCAGGGTGAGAGGGGCAAAAGGAACAACCACCATTATTTCCAGAGGCATGGGAGATGAAAAGGGTAGGAAATAGTCGAGGAAAACCCAAGAACTGCCTTCCTCCTGACATTTTCTTCCTCACCTGCTGGCCCAGGCCAGCAGTGTCCCAGCAGAGAGCACAAGGTATTTGTGAGACAGGGACAGGGTCAAAGGGGAGCTGTGTTCCCAGCACTGGGGCTCTTTCAGGCTGAAGTTAGGAGAAATAGGAACAACGACCAAACCACCCAGCGGATTTTGGGCAGCCAGTCCCTCCAGCTGTGGGCTGACAGGGTGCATCCAAACTGGGCAGCCAAAAGCCTTGGGCACAGAATCAGGAGCCCAAGGCTCAGGATGATCCCACCCGGGTGTTCCCTACCCCAGAGAAGCCCACTCAGGGCTGGGGTGGCTGCTCCCACCGCTGACCCCACACAGCACTCACTCAGAGCAGCATCTCTCCAGTCTGCCTTATCCACACCACAAAAAAAGCCACTTGGCACAGTTTGGGATCAAGTGTACATTTTTATTTTTTAATGGAACATAGACTCCTTTAGAAAAAGAAACATTCAGCTGGATGATAACACCCATAGAAAAAACACCAATCTTGTGTTCTCTTTTTTTTTTTTTTTAATTTGGCATTTGTTATCTGCATTTATATTAAAGCAAAGTGCATCTTTCTTACTTTTTTCTCGTTTATACACATTGCACAATACATAAATAATGATGCTTATAAAACGTCTTTATATTTACAAGTAATAATATATTTATATATAACATAAAATACATTTTTTTCTTTAATAAATCTCAGGGTTTTTTAAGGAGTCCTTTCTTTTGTGTGGGTGTTTTTCCAAAGCACTACAATGCTAAAGTTCCAAGAAGAATGCTCTCTTGTTCAATTAAACCTTTATATTTAGAAAAATAGCTTATGTTAAGGTCTAAACATGCTCATTGAGCTAAGAACAGTGTAAAAGTATCATACTCGTGTATGAATTCAAGAAGAAATGAAAGCACAACTGCATTTCCAGATAAGATGGTACCTGGATAACCTGATCTAAGCAGGTTATGACACACCGACTGCTGTGAACACTTTTTCTCTTGTTTTCCCCACTTGTTTTTCTTTAGTTTTGTGTTAATCTTTTTTTGTTTATAATTTATTTTTTTTTTTTTTTAGGTTTAGAATTCCGTCACTTTGCATTCTCAGCTCAAACGGCCAAGCATGGGCCACACGCCCGGAGTCCCTCCACTGTTGTTTTCTCCCCTTACACCAATCCACGATCATAAAAAACATAGAAAAAGCAGTGGAACAATGAACACAGTGACAAGACATTGAACCCAGCAACAAGAGAAACACAAAAGGTCGGTAAGAGACCTGTCTGGGAAGGTTTTGCACCATCCTCCGGCGGCAACGCGGGGTCAGCACTGCTGGGGAAGGGGTCTCGGTGTCACCGTCACTGGGAAGGTGGTGCGTACAAAAATACAGTCATCTCCTTGTGTTGTCCAAGAGAAGGAGCTGTAACATAGAGCTAGTGGCTTTCAAATCCGTCGATCCCCATTGGATAATCCTTTTCGAGAGGCGTGAAGTAAATTATCTCGTGTGATCTATCCCCACTGCACCCTTCTCTCGCCCTTCTGAGAGTTATTGGTCATTCACACTTTTAAAAAATAGATATATTTATCAAAATACCCCAAAGGCAAAAAAAAAAAAACAAAACAACAAAACAAAACTAACAAAAAAACCGAACAAACAAACAAAAAAAAATCTTTCATTAAGCTATTTCTCAAAAAACGAAGAAGGGTGAACGAAACGAAACGAAACAAAAAACAACAACAACAAAAGTCTGCATGAAAAGCAAGCACTCAGAAGGAAGTAATAGCAGCAAAGTAGTATAGATGTCATGAGTTCACTCTGTCTCGAGTCACCGGTTGTTGAAAATAACCTCCAACCAGCAGGGGCAACTGCTGATGAACTGTCTGGTGTAGCACTGGCCCCAGCCTTTCACAAAACTGATCTGCACGGTAAATCCGGTCCACGGCTGCTGCGTGAACTCGTGGTCGTTGGGTCTCTGCAAGCTGTACGCCTTCTCGTAGTCAAAAGCCTTGATGGAAAACCCTGGGAACACTTTGTGGACCAGCAACGTCCTGGAGTCGGGGTTGTCCAGTGTGGCCGACTTGATGAAGATGGGGTAACTGCTGCGGTTGTACACCCACACGCCGTCCACTTCCTTGGTGAGCTGGATGCCGTAGCCGATCTTGCTGCGCACCTTCTGCACCAGCTGGCTTTTGTTGTCTGAGTTGAGCTGTCCGAGGCAGAAACCATTCCCCTGAGGTAGATCATAGAAGATGTCCAGGGAGGGCTCTTGGACAGAGTACAGCCGACCCACGCGTGTCTTCTCTTCCCAGTATGCCACCACACACCAGTGTGACCTATCCCCTGGCTCCTGAAGAACTTGAGAATCTGCACAACAACAGGGGAAAAAAAAAAACAAAGAGGAGATTTAGCATCAAAGGAATTAATACAAACCAGCAGGACCTTGCCTGCCCATGGCTTCTGCATACATCCATGTCCACAGTGCGTCCACTCTTTCCAAAAAAACACCCCCAGGTCTGGGGCACTCCTGTGTTGTTTCAGTGCCTAGTTCTAGTTGGATTTACAGGTCCTGAATGACAAAGTCAATGACACAGCCACCCTCACCCAAACCAACACCAGGACCACCTCCAGTCAACAGGAGAGGTGGGATGTTCCTGCAACCAAACACCTGAACCCCCTGATTTTTCCACCTACTGAATGTTGGCTTTATTTCCATAAATGACAATCTACTGTGCACAGACACTGAAAAAAATGAGTTGCTGCTAAGAAAACCACATTGAAAGTCACCCCACAGGGCCAGAGGGGATGAGAATTTGACTGCTCTGGTTCACAGGGCTTTTCCTTGCCCACAGGGCCTGGGTGATGGACGGCAAGGGGACATGAGGTATGTATGGGAAGCACCAAAAGATAGAGAGAACCAAAAAAGTCTCACACAACTATAGTAAAATAACAATTGTTGTTAACAAAATTGGCCTGAAAACTTGCAAAAAAACGTAGAAATTAATTCATGTAGCCCTTCTCTCAACTCCCTTTCCCACAGTTACCTCACGCAGCACAACAATGATGTAGGAGGAAGAAGCAAGGCAGGAGGAGGGGAAAAAATGTGAGAAAGCCCCTTTTCCTGATGAGGGATCCTGAGCAGCCTGGCGTTGCTCAGCAGGTAATTCCTTCCAGCCTCAGTAGGCATGTTAAGACCTGGGAACTATTCATCTCTATAATAGTATTAAAAAAAAAAAAAATCAAGCTGGGAGTGCAAGTTAGTGAGCACTACCAAAATAATCCTCTGAACTACGAGAGAAACTGCTGGAGCTGGGATGGTGGGTGACCTAGCAAACAAATGCTCTTCCTACAGCCCCCCTCCAACCTGCTCTTTCTATTTCTTGCTATTAATAAGCACGTTTTCCCAGTTTTCCTCCCATCTTGTTTAAGCCCTGCACTGTGCTTTTAAGAGAGGAGAAGAGAGAGGAGAAAAAAAAAAAAAAAGCCCAGCCACACACTTTTAATTTCCTCATTTCTATGCCAGCGAGGAAAATATTTCTCCAGTTGCTGGAGGCAGCTACTAAAAATGGGCCTGACTGTGTATGTCTCAAAATAGGGACCCTCATTCCCAGTTTAAAGCAGGGATGGGGTTCTGGTCATGCTGGGGTGGTCCCTGGGACAGCATCTGTCGAGGTGCACCCCAGTTCGTCCTTCCACTCCCTTTTTTTGGTGCCTCCCAAGACTTGGCTGTGGGTAACTTTCTGTCCTGCTGAAAGCTGGGACTGAGGAGGGGCAGGGAGGGCAGTCTGGGTTATTTCCTCCCCACTAACCCAGGTGGGGTGCCCTCCATGCAAAAGTGCATCCAGAGGGGCAAGAAACAACCCCAGGATGGAGTTTCCACCACCAGCATGGGAGAGAGAAGAATCTGGGAGGGATGCTTCTGGATCCAGGGGAAGGATGCTCCTCCATCCAAAGGGGGATCTCTGTGACCACCTCTCTCCTCACTGCCAGCCTGACAATGGTGTTCGGAGGCTTTTGGGTTTTGTTTTACAGCAGTTGAGGGAATTTTGGAGCCATTGGACCCCTGCTGAAATTCTTACAGGTTTTCATCGATTTGAACATAAAAGCATCCCTTTCAGGACGTAGCAGGGGGGAAAAAAGGACTTTTTCACCTGGTATTTGTGCTTGCATCAGTGAAGACCATGTAACAACTAGTTCACTGCTGCTTACAGAGAGCTATTTAATGGCTAGAGCATTTAAGGAAAAGAAAAAACCCAAACCTACCAATAATTAAAAAAAAAGAAAAAAGAAAAAAATAGAAAACTGCCTTGGCGATGAATGAACAGACCTTTATGGAGGGCTGGAAGTTCATGAATGAATCCCACTAGGTTTCTGAATGACATGGGGTGACCAGACCTCAAGGACGAATCTTAGGTAATCCGGGATGTTTGAGTTTTTTTTTTTAAGGAGCTGATGCCAGCACACAGTATAAATATGCCAGAGCCTCTTCCGTTTGTGGGCTTCGGCTGTTGACTGCATGTCTAGTCAAAAATCCATGAGAATGTAAGGGCTGAGCTCGGATAAACAGGCTCAGCCTCCCTGCCAGCCACCACCAAAGCTGCTTTTAGCAGTTGTTGGGACCCCAGAGGAGCCCCCTTGCTCCCCACCCACCTCCCTGGTTCTGGCACCCGCCAGGAAAACGGGTGGGAAAAGCCAGTGGCATCACTCTGACGGGAGAGGAGGTGGCAGGAGAGAAGGAAAAAATTACTCAAGAGATGCTTCCTACAGTGACAGACTTTCTTTTTTTTTCTTTTTTTTTGCCAGAAGGCTTTTTTTGGTGGCAATAATCACGGATCTGTGCAAACGAAGCAAACAGAAGCATTATGCTCAAAAACACCCTGCTGGGTTCACCCTGTGCAACCTGGGGTCATGGCAGGCACCTACCATCCAACTCCCTGCTGCAAACTCACACAAAAACCCTGATCCCAGGAAAATCCACAGCCACATCCTCAACACCTCCTCGTGTGTGACAGCCCATAGATGGCTGCAAACCCTTTGGGATCCCTGTTTTGAGTTAAAAGCATCATTTTTACGAGCTCCTCAGTGCAAACAGATCCCTTTGTAAATGCCTGGAGAACTCCCAGCAAACTGGGGGCGTTCCCATATCCCAGCAAACAATGATAATGTTTAATGCTATAAACATCTGCGCTATTATTTCGTTATTAAGGATCCCTCCATTTGCTGCTATCACTGGGTTATTTAGGATTTTCCATGGTTTCCATTACAGGCCTGCCTTGAGGCTCCAGCAGGCTCCCCCTGGTGCGTTGTGCAAGCTCATTGTGAAAAAATAATAGTATAGAAATAACTGAAAATAAAGTGAGTTTGCCCTCAGGAATTCCGGGGATTAGTTGTATTGATCACTCATAGTCAGGTCTACAGAGAACATCCATTCACATCAGCTCCTCATACAGAGGGGAGAAATCAAGGCAATATCCCAAAGCCCCCTGGGGTAACATTTTTTGTAATTTGGGAGCAGATGGTTCATCACTTGTGATGGCCCAGCATAACCGTATTACAAACCATATCCCATGGAAAACTATTTTTTTTTTCCATATTTTTTACACCTTCCTGGATTTTCCTGAGGGGCTGCCCCAGTTTTGCCAGGGCATCCATTGTCCTCCACAAAAGAATCATCCCAGCCAAGTCTCAACACAATCAGCACAAGGGGCTCTGACCTTCCCCACCACTTGCCTTGGCCACCAAAACCATCAAGTCCTGCCTGAACTTTCTCAATACAAGACCACAAATTTTTCCTCACTGGAGGTGCACAGGGCATGATCCTGCTCCTGCTGGAAGTGCTTCATCCATACAGAAACCCAGGAGGATGGGATACCAAAGCAATAACCCCCAAAAAATCGACAGCTGCAGAAACAATAATGGGTATGGGTCATTCCCACCACAGAAACACCCAAATTTATCAAGTCCCACACTTGGTTCTTCCAAGCTATGGCAGAAGGGCTCACACCTCACCTTGTTTGGAAGTGGCAGGAAATTTCTGTGTGGCTTTTCTCTCCATCACATGGTGAGTTTTAATGTGATGAAAACATGTCGTCTGTACTTTTTCTTTCCAAGCTCCAGCAGTTTTATTAGGAGCTCGGGAAGAAAAAGTTCTTTTTTTTTTTTTAATTCACAGAGAACCAAAGCATTTTAGCAAAATTTAATTTAAAAAATAATAATCATAAACTAAAACAATACAGCTCCTGTCCTGGGGTTGTTTTAGGTCTCTGTTGTCCTTCAGATCTCAGCCTTGTCCCAGTGCCAGGTTCATGAATGCAAAGGGGAGCTAGGCTGGGGATCTTTTGGTTTTGTTCTGGGGGTTTTTTTAGCTAAAGGTTTTTCCTGTAGTCAACCAGCCTTGAAAAAAAAGAGCAAGTTTAGCACACACTGAGCTATCTGACCCACCAGGACTGCCCCCAGCTGACCACATCAAGGGCTGTCAAAATTATCACCAGTATCTGGGACAACAACTCAGTGCTGAAAATGGGAATAAAATGGCCTTACTGATGAGGATTTTAAATGCCTGTAATTGGATCTTTCATCAATGACATCAGGTTTAGAGGCAAATTAAACTATCCAAATGTAGAAGTGTTCAGAACTAGGTATGTACACATTTCGAAACACATGTACATATGTATTTATTTTTCCAAAAAGCAGTTTTGATCCTGAACATCTTCTCACACTCTTCCTAAAGTTCTCACCATCTCACCCCCTCCTCTCCCTCTTTCTGGCATCTGGATTTCCCATTGAACATCAACAGTGGCACAATATTCACAGGGTAGCGTTTTCCCTGAACTGCTAACAAAAGTCTCCTCATTTTCAAAAATGGTTTGGGTTGGAAGGGACCTTAAAGACCCTCTTGTCCCGCCCCCTGCCATGGGCAGGGACACCTTCCACTGTCCCAGATTGTTTCAAGCTCAGTGTCCAGCCTGGCCTTGGACACTGCCAGGGATCCAGGGGCAGCCACAGCTGCTCTGGGCACCCTGTGCCAGGGCCTGCCCACCCTCCCAGCCAGCAATTCCTTCCCAAGATCCCATCCAGCCCTGCCCTCTGGCACTGGAAGCCATTGCCTGTGTGCTGTCCCTGCCTGCCTTGTCCCCAGTCCCTCTGCAGCTCTCCTGGAGCCCCTTCAGGCCCTGGCAGGGGCTCTGAGCTCTCCCTGGAGCCTTCTCTTGTGCAGCTGAGCAGCCCCAGCTGTGCCAGGCTGGCTCCAGAGCAGAGGGGCTCCAGCCCTGCAGCATCTCCGTGGCCTCCTCTGGGCTGGCTCCAGCAGCTGCACGTCCTTGTGCTGTTGGGAGACTCCAAGACCTGGAGAGAGCCTGCCCGGCTTT